CATCAGAAAAAAGAAAGAGGCATCAGTCTCTACTCGGCAAAGAGGCGGACAACCAGGTGAGGCGCTGGGCCGTCTCTGTAGCAGCTGGCTGTGCTCGGGGTGGGGGGTGTTGAAGGGAGGGGAGTTAACTGACGAGAAAGGTGAAACTGCTGGGAACACCAAAAAACGGAAAAACAGGCAGGTCTAGGTCCCTCTGCTGACGGTACGAATCTGTGAGCGGCTGCCCTCACCTAGGCAAAGGGGCCCTTCGTAATTCAGCCAGGGCCCAGCGAGGCTCACGCCCTTCAGAGCAGACCTGGGCACCCGCCTGGCCCACAGTCCCTCAGAACACCGTGCACAGCGCGGGCGTCCGTCAGCGAGGGGGCGAAGCCACGTCGGGTCCTGTGCTCAGTGGAGGGGGAAACCGTGGGCGGTGGTGTGAGGGTTAAATGAGAGGCCGTGACTGGACGCAGGACCCCTGAGAAGGTCTCTTCCGTCCGTCCGTCCGTCCCCATCCTGTCCTAGTCGGCACGCGGGAAGGCAGGGCCTCGCCGGGGGGAGGAAGCCGCAGCCACCACCGCGCCGCCTCCACCTCCCACAGACGCAGCCGCCACGTGGAGACCCAGGGTGGTGGGTGCTCTCCCCTCCCCGGCCCGCCTTCCAACCCGAGCCAGAGCCCGCACGCGCCCGGGCTGCGCACGCCCACCCCACGGCCTGGGCAGAGCCTGGACCCCGACGTTGCCCGACGGACGGAAGAGCCCCGGCCCCACACTCCTGTCTCTGCTCCCCTCACGTCGCTTTGTCCAGCCAGCGGCTCTGCCTTGACCTTAGACCTCAGAATCCCTTCCTCCTCCTCCTCCTCCTCGCGCCATCCCTGCTAATTCCCAGCCAAGCTTTACCAATTCCAAAGAGGCTTGAGGAAAGCTGCTCACCTCCTAATCCCTTTGCCATGTGAGGAGCTAAGCCGGTTTCCGGGTTCCAGACACGGAGCCCCAGCCCCCTGCTCGCGCCCTGGGCCAGCCCCGGCGCTCCAGCGATTGCGCAGAGGAAGAGCGCTCAGGCCTGAGTTCCTGAGCAGGCGCCGTGGAGCACCCGGGGCGCTGCCCTCCCAGCGCGGACCGAGCGAAGTCCTGTGATTCCGGGCCGCTGGCCAGAAATTCCCAGGGAGAAAGGACAGTCCCACCCCTCCAGACCAACACACGCTGACCCCCAAGCCCACCGCCAACCCCTGATGCCGGGAACCTGGGAACAAGGCTCTACGGGCCCGGAGCAGCTCCCTGTGTCCCGGGTGCCTGCCCTCCGCGTCGGGGCCTGCCCTCTCCAAGCCCCTGTGAGACTCAAGCCCGATGCCTCCGGAGGCTGCTCGTCCCGCAGTCCTTGGCCCCTGGAACTGCCTTTGCTCTCGGCGTTTCCCTGCGGACACCCTGCAGGCCGCGTTCCAGTCCCGACCTCAGCCTGGCCGCAGAGCCAGGCCGGGAGCCCAACCCCCAGAAGCTTCGCCCGCGGGCAAAGAGGACTCCTCATCCACCGGTCCACGGAGCCTCCAGGGCACCCCGTGGGGACACGGAATTCCCCGAATGTGGGTCAGCGGTTGCAAAATTACTGCCGCTGCCGTGGATGCGGCAAAGTTGCCCAGGGGGCCGGAGTGGAGGGGCGGGAACTCGGTGATCGTGGTGAAGAGCTGAAGTGAATCCTGCCCCCAGAGCGCGCGCACACACACACACACACACACACACACACGTGTGCACGCGTGCAGTGGGAAATTCTTCAAGGAAGAGCCACTGCTGTCAAAGGGGGTTGGGTATTGGACGCTTTAGGGAACGTCAGGCGCCGGCAGAGAGGGCAGAGACACAGGCCAAGGCTGAGGGATCTCAAGACCACAGAACCGTTTGGTGTTAACATCTTCTCCAGCGTAGCTGCTGTCTGTTCCGTACTTCACACACGCTATCTCCGACCCTCACGGCAACCTCGAAAGGTAGGCGTTAGTGCACCAACTTACACGAACAGCAGCTGAGGCTCCGAGCGAGAACTAGCAGAGCCAGAGCCCAGCCCGCCGCGCCAGGCTCCGGGCCGCCGTGTCTGGGGCGCCACGCACAGGTGCAGCCCCAGGAAAGCGCGCAGGCCGTCTGGGACTCAGCCTCTACGGAGCGTCCTCAGCGCCTGGGCCCTTCTAACCGCAGCATCCTATGCGTCTACAGGGCTCCCCGAGGGACGGGACGGGCAGGAGATGGAAGAGTCCTCCTTCTGGGGTGGGGGGGAGTGGCTCTCACCTCCCCCGTTTTTGTAGCAGAGGTAGGGAAACCTCCAGACGTTGCCTAAGCCGATGATCTCCCCGGCCACGGACAGCACGAACTCCATCTTGTTGTTCCAGTGCCCCCGCTCCAAGGGGCCGGCTTCCTCCGCCTTTTCCACAACTGGACACACGGGCTTTGTCTCTCCATTGCTGGCCGCGCCGGGCACTCTGCCGTCCATTCCACCTGCGGAGCAAGCGGGATGCTCTGTGACCGTCGGGGAGCCCGAAAGGAAGGCCCTCCTCCTCCCTCCGCCCGCACGCGCCCGGGGATCAGCGCCCTGGCAGAGGGTGAATTCCTCCTCCCTTCTCGGCTGACGCGCCGCCTTAGCACCTGGGACGGGGAGAGGCCGGGTGGCGGTGACCGAGAGCCTGTGTGCCTTCCCTGTTCCCGGGCAGGAAGCGTCCACGTGGCCCCGGCGTCGTGCCCGTCCCAGCCACCCTGCGGTGGGCCCCGTCTGCGAGCCCGGGTGCTGTTTCTCTGCGCTGCGTGCCGGGGCCGCCGGCAGGATGGTACCGTACGGATCCTCGAGGCACCGCTCTCCCCGGCAGGAACCGGCTCTAAGGACATAATTGTGACTGTGAGCGGACTCGGCATTGAGGATATTTATTGCTCGTCGCGGCAAAAGTCAGAAAGTACACAAATGTCCACAGAAGGCAGACGGGCTAATACATCATGGCGCGTTCCTACAATAGACTACTGCATCATCATCAGAAACCGTGTTGCAGAAAAAGTGTGTTGAAACAAAAGGATGTTCACAATATGTGAAGCGAAAACCGGACATACAATGCGATCATGCCTCACAGATATTCTGTATTTATGTGCACTGAAAGATCAGGAGAGCCACCAAAATATTTCCCTTTCAATGGTTGGATTATAGGAATATTTTCCTTACCTGTATGTCCCACATTTTTATCAAAGAACAGGTTTTATTTTTGTCATATAAAAATAAGCGCCAGCCGGGTGCGGTGGCTCACGCCTGTAATCCCAGCACTCTGGGAGGCCGAGGCAGGAGGATCGTTTGAGCTCAGGAGTTCAAGACCAGCCTGAGCAAGAGCAAGACCCCATCTCTACTAAAAAATAGAAAGAAATGATCTGGACAACTAAAAATATATAGAGAGAGAAAAAATTAGCCGGGCATGGTGGCGCATGCCTGTAGTCCCAGCTACTCGGGAGGCTGAGGCAGGAGGATCGCTTGAGCCCAGGAGTTTGAGGTTGCTGTGAGCTAGGATGACACCACGGCACTCACTGTAGCCCGGGCAACACAGCGAGACTCTGTCTCAAAAAAAAATAAATAAATAAGCGCCAGTTTTTTGGTTTTGCGCTGTTCTGAGCATTGTAAAAAGCCAGTTTTTAAAACATCCTGTCAGAGGACTGGGAGAGGCCGGGCGGGACAGGGACCGTGAGTGGGACGAGGGCACCTGTCCAGGGGCTCCCTCCGCCTCTCTCTGAGACCAGCGAAAGAGGAAAATGAACGGTGGGCTCTTTTTCTTTTTTGGTGATGACACATGTAGGTGTCTGTCCTAGCGGAGAAGAAGACACACATGAGAGCCGCAGTGCAAACCGCCCGTGGCTATGGCCTGTGCCAGCCGCCGCCGGGAGGGGGGGCCGCCACGGCTCGCGCCAGGGCAGCTGCGTAGACCAGGGGCTCCACACGCGCCTGCGTCCTGCGGGCCTCGCAGCCCACCGTGTGAGCGCCGTTCTCGCCTCCACTCTATAAATAAGGAGGCTGCAGCTCAGAGACGTCAAACAGGTGACACTGCCCCTGCTCTCTCCGCTACATCCGCTCCTCACATTGGCCACCTGGCTTCACCAGCACGTCTGGTCTAAGCATCTTCTAGTGACTCCCCTGACTCTATGTGGCAGCCCCTTTTCTGGAGAAGTGGGCGGGAGGACTTTTCTTTAAGCCTCAAGCCAAGTTCACGCTAACAGAGCTCTCGGTGGGAGACCCCACCCGGCTCCTTCGGCTCCGCCTCTCACTTGGGCCACCCGAGGGATCCAGGAAGTTAGAAAGTCAGGGAGCAGCAGGCATCTGTGTTTATCTGATAAATCAGGGAATGGGCTCCAAAGATTGTGTGTGGGCTACAAAGGAGAAACTCGAGCCATTGGTCCCAAGTGGGTTCCTCAGTCCTTTAGAGAAAGTTCTCTAAGACGGGTGCTAGCTCTGGGCCTCCCCTTGCTATGGGATGGGCGTCTCCCACTGGTGCAAAGCCACCCTCACCCCTGCACGCTCCCAGACCTGGAGGAAACAGCAGCCCTCTCCTTGGCCTTGAGCCCCCCTGCAGCTGTTCAGGGAGCATTCTGCCGGTGGAAGGACTCGGGCTGTGGGCTCAGACAAGCCTGTGTCTTTCTCGTGCCACTGCCCGACTTCAGGGAAGTTCGTGAGTGACTCCGAGCCTCAGTGTGCTCATCTATAAAGTGGGCATGATAGGACACGCTTGGCCATACGGATCAAGTGAGGACACACACGCACACACACACCTGGTGGAATAACAGGCACTCAAATTTTTACTTTCAGTCTTGTCAAAGAACTGATCATGTCATTTCACGGAGAAGAAAAGTCTTCATTTTCCTAGAATCAAGCCCAAATGTCTTTCCTCTCAGTCTAGGGTTCTCTTTCTCCAGATCACATTTATCCCTTAAGTCGACACCTGCCCGAGTTTCAGAAAGTGAAGAAAAGAGCATGCAGCCTTTGCACAGGCACCAGAAATGTCAGAAACATATTTTCTGGGAGAGGATCAAAGTTCCCCGGCCGTACGTCCTGTGGACCCCGCCAACCTGCAGTCCGAGACCCAGACCCAGAGAAAAGAGAAGAAAGCGTTCCGAACCTTGCTGAAGTGGCCGCCGGAGGTCCAGTCGGGGGTGAAGAATTATCTGCGGGGCAAGGGGAAGGTGCGGGCTATTTAAAGTGGGGCTGAAGAACGCCTCTGTGACACTTGTAATTCTAAACTTGGCCCGGCCCACATTCCCGCCCTCCTGCCTCCCCTCCTTTCCCCTCCCCTCCCCGAGCCACCAGAGGACTCACTCAGCAGTGATTTCACAGCCTGGGGCCCCTGGGCACGTCCTGCAGGTCCGGCCAGTTGCTGGTGAGCTTGTCCACAGCCTTCCCTGCAGCTCACGTGGTCTTCCTTCTTGGTGACGGGGATCTCTCTACAGGGACCCTGCCTTCCACACCTTTTTCCAGCACACGTGCTCTACACAGCTATCAAGAATAGTTGTTTCAGCCGGGCGCAGTGGCTCACGCCTGTAATCCTAGCTCTCTGGGAG